CAGGGCCAGCATGAAGAGCTTGATTGACGTTGGCCAGATAGACTTTGTCTTGCAAGACGCAACATGGAAGTTCCTCATGGGCTCGTGGGTTAAGGAAAGTGCACACAACGAAGACTGCGACGGCCGCTTCGACTTCGAGACGAACACCTACAAGGAAGCCATCGACTCGCCGCAAGCGCCACACTGGAAGGCAGCTATCGCAAAGGACTGGTGGTTCAATCAAGGCCACGTGCAGGAGTCTGGCATCGACTGCGGGAGGAGCTACGCACCGGTTTGCCGCATCGGGACCGTTCGCACCTTACTCGCTACAGCATGCGAACAAGGATGGCCGGTATATCAGATGGACGTCGCCGTGGCGTTTCTGCAGCCTGCGATTGACAAAGACGTCCGGGTCAAGGCCGCCCCCAGGACAAGACACCGAGCATCCCGTGACTCGGGGGACATCATGGTCTACGAGCTCGAACCCCGTCTTTATGGGCTTTCACAGTCGCCAGTGCTCTGGTTCGACGCCATGGGAGACGTGCTGGTGGTGATCGGATTCAGGCCCACACAGTAGTCTGACCCCGGCGTACTCATTCATATTAGGAAAAAACAAATACGCACACAGAAAGAATAATAATACCCGTTCGAGATATACCCACATTCGAACATTCATATACGGAAGCGGCGACACTCTCGTCATCTTGACGCTGTATGTCGACGACATCCTCATCAGCGGAAAGGACCCCGAGATCGTAGCTGGCCTCAAGAAAGATCTCCACGACCGCTTCGAAATCACGGACCATGGGGGAAGTCAACGCTGACTTGTAGCATAGTGGACTACACCTCAAACATGGTGAATGAAGCGGGGGGGGGGGGGTGTAATCTAACGTGAGTGCTTGGAGAAAAGGGGGGGGTGTTATTTAAAGCAACATCTCTTCGCGGCGGCGTATTATGTACACTGCTGTATCTACGCGGAGGCTTTTGTGTCTGGTTGCGTGCGTGTGTGGTCTGGCGAATAATGAACGGAGCTCCAGCTGTACAAGCACGGAAGGCGGGCAGCAGGACTGGCTCACGTGCTCTGCTTGTAGCATCCACGCCCCGACACACCAAGGGTCGCTTCACAATTCAAAAATTCAAAACGGACTATCCGTGTATCCTCCCTCTGGCAAATACCAGATGTGCTTTAGTCTAACTCCACCGCTGTGTCACGTGCGCCTGTTTGTTGGGAGTGGAACCATAGGGGTGAAGAAATGAAGCCGTAGCTGTCATCATGCTGCCTACTGCCAACGGTCGGCGTGGCGACTCTGAATGTACAGCAGTTGGAGCTGTGTCGCAAAAAGCAGTGAGAGCGGTGGCCTGGCTCTACTAATACTGCTGTACATATTATTGAACAGGTGTTCTATTGGTGCATTTTGGTGCATCTCTTTTGAGAGAAGTTGCTGCCTATTTGGGTTCAATCTGGTCAACCTACCTACCTACTAAAGCAGAGCCTCGCAGCAGCATCACCAAGTTGCGATCAGGACCGACCACCAACACGCAACACCACATGCACCGAACAGCGGTTAGCGAATGAACGCGAAAGCAGTTGGCATTTTCAAATTCGTCATGGTTGCGAGCACTCACCAAACGTCCCGTTCCCTGACACGCCGACCGAGCGCTGAATACGTGCACCGGGTCAACATTCGCCAGTCTAACAGCAGTCCAGCAGGCTTCCTGACCTCAGTTGCAAACCAGGTCGCGCCACTGCTCTACCACGCCAGTGCAAACAAACAGCACAGAGCAAAGCCTGCCTGCCTTCAATGCCTTGGCCTCGTGTGTTGCTATTGGGGACTCCGCACGATGGAAACCATGGGCGAGAGGGGGGTCGGGGGCATCGAAAAAGATATATATGTGTAGTAGCCAGCGCAGCGAAGATCGTCATGTCACATGTTACCTTACCGAGCTGGATCGGGTATCAAAGACAGATGTGCTACAGACACTGGGCGCCCCACGCTGAGCGCTTGTGAACACGCACACAACACTGTCAATTATAGGTAGGATCTTCCGGGTAGGGCACTCACCCTCACGACAAAGCTTCGTACATACACCCGGCGGCAGGCGACCCGTCCTGCGATTTTGTCTCGAACCACTCCTTGATTGAGCAGACTCTCAACCCTTGCGTTGACACTACAGTATCATGAACGAACGAGTTAGAGGTCTTCGTACGACTACCCAAGTATGCATGCGGTGACATGTAGGTGTGACATGTAGCCGCAAAATGATCACCGATAGATCACGTGTTGCTTCGATAACAACAACAGGTTTGAACTTACCACGCGGCATTACAAAGCGTGGGACCGACAACGCAAACGCAAAGAAAATGCTACATAGCTGTGTATACCTTCGTCTCGTATGACCTCGGCTGGTGCGTCAAACGTATGCATATACGGAAAGATGTAGACGGGAGACCACAATATTATGTAGATGCAGGATGAAAACACAAAGGGAGAGAGACTACAAAATGAAAGTATTCCCGCCACATGTCAACCTCAACTACTGCCATTGCAGTGCAGTTGTTTGTGTTGCTTTTGCCACTTTCTACAAGATACTATTGTGTACATTGAGACCACCACCCCCGCCTCTCTGAGCGCGCGCGGAACGGGTTTATTGGCTGTTTGTCTCGTGGCGGCGTGGTCAATCCGCGCGATGACTGGTATCGTTCGACCGTCGAAGACCGCGGAAAACGCTCACCACGTTTACTATTCTGTGTACATACTGTAGTACAACAACTACGCGCACACGTCGGTGTACAAGAGTACATCAGATCATCGCCAGCCGTTCTAAGAAAAACAGTGGTCTCTTGCGCATCTTCTGCTGTTGGCGGGTGGGCTGCGTAGCTGAGGACCTCGGCTTACCCAAGCAACTCCTTTCACTGTGGATTCAATCAGTCTTCTTGTTCGTGAATCCTACAATGTACACCCACACTTCAGAAGAAGGCTTGGGACATCAAGAGTCATGCTTGCTTTCACCCTTCCTTCCTTCTGCCTTGACAAACCCAATCGTTCTTCGCCGAGTTCTTACAGCATGCTTCGAACTGCCAACCGCAGTAGTAGTAGTTCAACGAATTCATTATACTTCGCCCTTATACATATATATGTGTATCACACACATGGTATCATTGTGAAAGACAGTAACACATGATGACGGTCTGGCGCGAGAGACAGAAGATGATGTCTATTATCGCTGCAATGACTAACAAATAGATGAACAGCCAAGGAATGCCCGCCCCCCTCCTCGCCTCCACGTACGTACGTCTAGCAGTGCTCCCGAAACAAGCACGTTTGATTCCCGTATGACGTCCAAAAAAAAACGGCGACGTCGTGACGGAAGGGCAAATAAATGCTTACAATTACTTCGAAGAAGTACTTGTACTTAATTAACAAGTAGAACGCGACAACAATAACACCACATACGGCACCCCCACCGAACTACAGCAAATAATGAACACGTAACTGCTCTCTGTGCGTTAGTGGCATACGCTCTCTACTGTACCTAGCCAGCCAAGCAGTGCCCTCACTCGTCGTGCAGAATGTGGGTGAACGTTCTTCCTCCAAGAAAAAATATTTTTTTATTCCCACCCCGCCACCATTTGAAACGACGCTTTTCGCCCCCCCACGGCCCCGGAAAGCAAGCCTCTTCAGGCAGTACGTGCGAGTTGAGACATGCGTGCGCCATTCCACGGGCTGTCCTCAGCCCCTGATCTTCCGGATAACGGTGTTCGTAGCGGCGAAATAAATACCACCGAGCCCGAAACTCCATTTCTCACGGCATGTATAAACTTACGAACGTATTGCATGCTGTGTTGCATGCATACATACTCGTTCACAAATGGAGGAGATAGACGACCCACGTAGCCTCACTCTGCTTCCCTCCCATTTCACGGCACCTTCAGCGGAAGGATGATGGTGATTGAGCGTGCGACAACGAAGAAACCTCGCGATGTATCCACCACCCCCTGGTGCCCGTCCGTTCCTCGGAACGTTCCTGAGAAGCTTTTCTCTCGAACCACCCACATCTATGACGACACCGCTATCGATGACAGACATCACAACCAGAGCAGGTATGTAGCCACAGAAAAACATCTAAAAAGGGAGGACTCGTCAATTGGCAGCCCGGCTCGGTACGCTCGCCGACTTTTCTCTCTCTCTCTCGCTCTCTCTCTCTCTCTCTCTCTCTCTCTCTCTCTCTCTCTCTCTCTCTCTCTCTCTCTCTTCTCTCTCGGAACAGACGAAGCCAAGCGAGGCCGTGAAACCTCCCACACACCAGAAGATAATGCCTACTCAAGACGCATACGACCTCCGGCAAGCAAGACAGGCAGGGCAGATGGGAAACGAAGACGACCAGAAGAGAACCCACCCTAAGGAGATTGAATATGGCGCTACGTGGTGCAGCGTCTTCAATATTTTTTTCAGAAAACAAAGGACCCCGCACCACGGGGTGAAGGTTTAATTAAGTGTCGTCGTTATTCCTCTTGTCAGAGTGGCCCTAGTACACCACCCACGAGCCCCAAAAGAGAACTATTTGTTTCTATCAGCCACCACCCGCGAAGCAGCCGAAGGTCGCTACGGAGGATAAGACGGAGTCGACGTGCCAAGCTGGGAGAATTTTTTTTTTTGTCGTTGAGCTACATCGCCCAGATCACGTGACAACAGCAGTAGCACGCCTTCGACCTCCTCTCGTACCACTCTAGAGAGCCGGTGTACACATCCACACACACTCCTTCGAGCGACACTTGGCTGCGCCAGAATAGCAAGCGATAATCATTGCTACAATACATGGTGACCCACGTGACATCCCAATAAATTGACCATACTGTCG